TCATCGATCACCCTTCACCGGTGCTCCGCCAGCGTATCCCGTTAGCGCAGGCGGAGTTACCATTTCATTTTCATCTAATAAAAAGGGTAATTACTACAAGCAAAACTTCCCTTATGGGGGCTCCTATATTCAACAATGGCTGATGTGAATAAATACACCATCAGATTGACCTCCAAGCAGTCTTACTGAAAACCATTGTAGTTAATTCTTGAAAAATTCATCACGGCTAACTTATCTAACTTAATCCTCACCTATCATCCTTCACGGGTGCCTCACTAGGATATAACGATATAGTACATTTAGAGTTACCAGTCTGTATTCATCTATAAAAAAAATCACGGGAGAAAAAATGTTCTTAGTAATGACAAAGAACACTCTTTCTCTTGTGATTTTTTATTGCCTACTACCCTTGCCTACCCCATTGGGTAGCTATCTGAGTTATGGATTTTTTTTATACAACTTAGAATGGCAAACAAGCAGACGGCCCACCTGATGGAAAGTGGTAACCATCGCCTATAGGCATGAGCAGTACCATGGACATAACAGAGTATACTGTATCGCCCATGATAACCCCCATGCGTTGCCATTCCTGAGGACTCAGATGTTATTCCTCTGTACCCTATAAAATCTGTAAATTCACGCCATATCCCATCCTTCAAACCGAAACACAGCCATGCAAACACAACTGCTTCACGGTAGAAACACGAATGGGACAGAGGTACCCAAGAAATCGAATTTTGTACAAAGTCTCCCTCTGGTGATGGATGGATATATTTACAAAGTAACAAACATAAAAAAAAAACCAAAGAATGGAGAACTTCCCCGTTTTTATGAAGTCACTTACAAAGTTATTCTCATTCATAAAGACTACCGAATACGGAATACAAGCAGAGGGCCTACCATGAAATGTTTTCCGAAATTGCGAAGCCGAACGAAACACAAATATGATGTTAAAATTACATAATACTTACCGTTTAAAACATTAAAAATATTATTCCTTTGGACTTTTATGGTAGGCATTATTACGAACGAAATGTTAAGCTCCATTTACTGGGCCGATTTAGGTATGAAAGAAAACACGAAATTGAGTCGGAAACATCGGAACTTCATGGTAGGCCCCCTGATTGCTGCATAAATATAAGCACATACACTCGCGTAATAAACCGTTGTACGTTTTAGTAAAACAAGCCCTTTTCACCCGAGCAATAGAGGCAGGCTTTATGGTGGAGGATAAAGATTCACAAATACGTGTACAAGTCATTCAGTGTACGACCATCAGGTAAGTGGCGTGCAGTTGTACAAATGTAATGCGGTATAAAACAAAAAGCCTTGATTTTAACTGCTTCGTAAAATACTCGTGGTACTCTAGCAAGTAAGTCTAAGATGCTTCTTAAACTAGATTGACTATAGTCTGAACAGCAATCTACGAGTGTTAGTATACTCCATTAGTTTTTATTCTATTGATTTTTGTCTCTTTTTTTTACAACACAGGGGGCAAACGAGCATGCGGCTCAACTGGTTGTAAGTGACTACCGCCGTCCATGATCACCCACAACACTAAAGGCATTGCAGGTGTGCTGCCGCCCTTTGCATATGAATATGCTATTTTCTTGAAGGTTATGTTGTCGTATCGGTTCGAAAATACTGCTGCTGGAGTTGATTCCAAAAAGTGGTTGTGCGTGGGAGAAAGTGCCTTGAAAAACGCACAGTGGAAGACCGCCACTCGTCCAGATGGTTGGGATGAAATTTTAGTTTACGGCGGGTAGTACGGTGGTGAAAATTTTTATTCGGAACACGACGAATACGGAAGAAATCTTTAAAATGTTATCAGTACAACTCATAATATAAATAAGTTGCATAGCTACTTTATCGCCGATTCTTATTTTTTTAATATACACCGGCGGGGCACCAGTGGAAGATGATAGGTGAGAATGAATGCAAGTCAGTTGGCCCGCCATGATGAATTCGACAAAAATTAACCATGATGGTTTCCAGGGGCAACCGTGTGGAGATCGACCTTACAGAGTATATTTATAGCAATGAGGCTATTTGACCTTGTTACTAATAATCCCTTTCCCCCCGCCAGTTCTTTATTGTGCACAGCAGAACACGTTATGATTCTACACGCAGAATTAATAATTGGATAAATTAATTATTATAGGTATTGGTATTAAGGAATAAAACCAAGTGCCGCAATCAAAATGTTTTTATTTTAATTTATTGTATTTATTATAAAACATTAATAACAATTTATTTAGCAATGTCACGTACAAAGGTAAATTTATCTCAATAAAGCATTTTTTTTATACAACTTACAATGATAAACAAGCCAGCCCACCTGATAGAAAGTGATAACCGTTGCCTATAGACATGACCAGTACCATGGACATAACAGAATATACTTTTGTACCCCATGCGATGCCATTTCACACATTTCATTGCAAACACAATTGTTTCACGGTAGATACACGAATAGGACAGAGGTACTTAAGCAAACGACTTTTGTACATAATCTCCCTCTGGTATCTTCGCTAGTTATTATATGAAAAATAGAAATTTAGTTTATCTATAATCAAGTTTCTTGCTTTAGTTTTTGCAAATGTATCAATGATTTGGATTAAATTTAAACTTTATGTGGATTCGTTTTCGATTGATATTAGTAATAAATGTCGGAGTTGAGCTTGACCCTCATTCCTCAAATCATCATCATCATCATTTCAGGAATTACCCGTCCACTGCTGGACATAAGTCTCCCCCATAGACTGCCATAAAGAACAGTCCTGAGCCACCTGCATCTACTGACTCCCTGCAATGCATTTCAGGTTGTCACTCCTAGTAGGGGATCGTCCTACACTGCGTTTACCCATACACGGTCGCCACTCAAGAACCTTTCTTCCCCATCGATTGTCGGTTCTTCGAGCTACGTCGGTTCTGCCAGCCCATTGCCACTCCTCAAATACATTCATTCCTCAAATAGTTTTTATAACTTTAAATTTGGTAAATGATCTTTTAGCTTCTTCAATCACTTTATATAATTCAATTTATACTTTATAAGTGAGATTCCGAGAGGCCCCCTCAGATTGGGGGCCCCGTTTAGCCCTCCGGTAGCTACGCCACTGGGTATGACAATAAATATCAAATTTATAATTAGATATCGCGTTCTGTAACTTTACAATCGACTTCAAAAAGGGGATTCTCAAATCGACGATTGTAACCTCATAACTCCATTAATTGTAAAATCGACTTGGAAAATTCTGTTTTTTATCTGAAAGCAAACAGAATGTCAGAATACTGATTGATTCTATAGATAGATAGATAGATAGATAATTTATTTGCATAATTTACAGCACACAAATTACAACATATATAGATATATATAAAAATAGGATACATAAAAACGATATATATATATATATATATATATATATATATATATATATATATATATATATATATATAATCAGTTCAATAGTTTTAGTTTTTTAAATTTATTTATTTAAAAAAAAACATGATACTTGTATAGATGTTAATAACAGGTATAAGTCCTCATATTTCGCCATAATTAGGCATGTAAAAAAGACGCCGTTTGTCGTATTTCCTCACTTTCAGGGCACTTCCCTTGATAAAAAGTCGAGTCTAGGAGTTCTGGGCGTTGATATATCTTGCGACGTCCAGTTTTGCGGTCATCTGGAGGAGAAGGCTAAGATAGCTTCCAAAAAGTTAGGAGCGCTCAATAGGGTGAGACGATATTTCATGCCAGAACACCGCCTGAAATTATATAAAGCCCAAGTCAGGCCGCATATGGAATACTGTTCTCACCTGTGGGCAGGAGCGCCACAGTACCAACTCCTTCCGTTAGACCGCATTCAAAGTCGGGCGGCTCGAATTATCGATAGTCAACGCCTTACTGTCCGACTTGATCCACTGAAACTGCGCAGAGATGTTGCATCTCTGTGCATCTTCTACCGAATTTATCATGGGGAGTGTTCTGAGGAATTGTTCGGATTGATACCTGTTGCTGATTTTCACCACCGTACAACCCGCCACAAACTAAAGTTTCATCCCAATCATCTGGACGAGTGGCGGTCTTCCACCGTGCGTTTTTCAAGACACTTTCTTACACGCACAACCATTCTTTGGAATCAACTTCCAGCAGCAGTATTTCCGAACCGATACGACAACATAACCTTCAAGAAAAGAGTAAATTCCTTTTTAAAAGGCCGGCAGCACACCTGCAATGCCGCTGGTGTTGTGGGTGATCATGGGCGGCGGTAGTCACTTACCATCAGGTGAGCCGCATGCTCGTTTGCCCCCTGTGTTGTAAAAAAAAAATATGTAAAATTTAAAACTTAAAAAGAATAAATGCTAATTAAATGAGTCAATAAAATTCGTAATGTTATAAAAAAAACTCACGAATATATCAAATACGTCGAGCACTTGTCAACAATAAAAAAAAGAAATGTCACTGTCGAATCGTGGACCATTGATAACAGCTGTATTGTGGTGAGAAAGGGACTGTTAGTTATGGAGACAGAACCCCATTGCTAGCAATATACCCAACCAGGTCGACCTTCTCGCGGTTCCTTCTGGAATCTATCATGGTTAATTCCTGATGAATCTATCATGATGGGCTAACTGGCCTGTTTTCATTCTCATCGATCACCCTTCACTGGTACTCCGCCAGCGTATCCCATTAGCGCAGGCGGAGTTACCATCTCATTTTCACCCATAAAAAAAAAACAGCTGTATTGTAACACGATAGTTAATTCAAGTAGATAAGCATTTTTGTATCAAAAACTCACTGTAAAAGGACTCCTCAACAAGTCAATGTTTCAATGAATTTTAAATTTTCAAAATGGAAGTTCTCGTAAAATCAAAATATCTAGTTTTATCATAAACAAAGTAGGTTTTTTAGTGGAACATTTAGCTGATCTCCATCAGATGGGATCTCCATCATTTGGGCCGTCAGCTTGTTTGCCATTCTAAGTTGTATAAATCTTTCGATCGTGGAACATTGATTTTGTATGTGCAGTTTTCTGGATGAAGAGCTTACTATAGAAATGATCCTATGAAGTAAGGTCTTGAGTTACCCAATAGTCTAAGATTACACAACACTTTTATATATTGACGCTGGGTGGCGGTACACGTATACAGAAGTACATGGACTAATATTGGGTTACACGCAGCGATATTAGTTCGTACAGACAGACAGAAGGAGTTTTATTTGTTTGTAGACACGTGAGTGTAGGGACGTGTAAGTGGCGACCTTGGCTGCGTGTTATTTGGACGACATATGGCAAAGAAAGAACGCATTGTATGAAAGAGCCGGAGAATTACAATGTAGTCGTACGTATGGCGATCAGAGCCGAATTTAACCTTCTCATAACGTTAAATAATAAAATTGTAAACATATCTGTTATGCTGTCATCGTTTTGTTTAATACATGACAATGGAATGGTTACCCTGCTTGCGTGGGCGAAAGGGATTGTTAGTAATGGGATCAAATAGCCCCATTACTAGCAATTTATATGAGGGGAACCACGTGGTTCTCCCTGGAAACCATCGTTGTTAATTCTAGTTAAATTCGTCAGGATGGGCTAACTGACCCGCTTGCATCCTCATCAGTTATCTAACACTGATGCCCCGCTAGTGTATACCGATATCGCAGACGGGTTTACCACACTATTATCACCCACTAACAAAAAGCCGACCTGCGCTAACGGTATGTACTGGCGGGGCACCACTGAAGGATGATAGGCGAGGATGAATCAGGTCAGTGTTCTATCGTGACTAATTCAACAATAAATCAATAACAATAGTTTCCAGGGGGGACCGCGTGGATATCAGCCTGATATGGTGTATTTTTTGTTTTTGATGGGTGAAAATGGAATGGTAACCCCGCCTGCGCTAACGGGATACACTGGCGGAGCACCAGTGAAGGGTGATCGATGAGAATGAATACAGGCCAGTACAGTTAGCCCATCATGATGAATTCATCAGGAATTAACCATGATAGTTTCCAGGGGGAACCGCGAGGAGGTCGACCTGGTTGGGTATATTACTAGCAATGGGATTCTGTCTCCATTACTAACAAAATAGAGTGTATTGCTAGTAATGGCAGTATTAATTCCCATTACTACCAATCCCTTCTCCCCTTTTGTACATTCACTTATAATATAGATATTAGGTTATAAGAAAAATGTACACAGATGAACTTAAAGGGATTTCTTCTAGTCAACCTTGAGAGCATGATAAGAGAGTGTTTGTAGGGTTTGCATATAAAACATAACATATATAATGCAAAAATATTATAATAAATATAAAATTTATATTAGGCAGTCGACATAAATTATCGTGTTAATTATATAATTCTTGAGTTTAAAATTGTATAAGAGACGTGAATTAAGCCGATTACTTGTTACTTTGTTAAAGTTAAATATCTCGCAATAACATCACGAATTGATTTTAATACACTTACTAGAATTTCTTAACCTAATTAGGTATTATATTAACGTACGTCTTAATAGGGGATAACTAATGTAAATGTAGATAAAATTAGACTTCTCAAGCGCTTTAAACTTTATCCATTTTGGAAACTCAGCAGAAATGAAAGTAATTTAAAACTCGGATTTCGGATTATTCGTACGTATGTATCCCAAGAGAAATTTGAAGATTCTGCGGATTTACAATGACTATTTACTAACAATATCTCGTAACTTTCGTATATGTATGTATGTATGTGTATATGTATGTGTGTATGTACTGGCCGTACCTACGTTGAATCAACGACTATCAAAACGTTTATTACATCTAGATAGAAAAAACCTCAAAATAATGATAGGGACAATAACGAGCCATTGTCCATTAAACAAACATTTATACACAATAGGAGCCACAGACAGCCCTCTTTGAGAGCCCCAAATGAGAGGCTAAGCGCGGAAAATAGAGTCTTTCTCACATTCACATTCACACATGTATGTGTGTATGTGTATATGTATGCGTATATTTGTGTATTGGTGCATATGTATATATTTATTATTGAATGTATATATCTGTTGCGTATGTGTAAAAATATTATTGTGACTTCAACGATTGCCTACCTATTTGATTTTTTTTTTTGCTTTTCCTTTAACAATTGTCAACTACATAACCTACGAAATTGGTGAGAAAGGTATTGTTAGTAATGGAGACTGAGAATCCTATTGCTAGCAATATACCCAACCAGGTCGACCTCCTCGCGGTTCTCCTTGGAAACTATTATGGTTTATTCCTGATGAATTCATCATGATGGGCTAACTGGCCTGTTTTCATTCTCATCTATCACCCTTCACTGGTGCTCCGCCAGCGTATCCCGTTAGCGTAGGCGGGGTTACCATACCATTTTCACCCATCAAAAAAAACCTACGAAATTAATTTAAAAACACTTGTTATTGGCCATACTACTTTGTTATAAAATGTTTGTTAATTTTATTTGTAAACGCTGTTGGTTTTTTTTTTTAATAAATAAACTTTCCTCGCGTGATAAAAGTATCTTGCCTGTTTAACAAAATGATCCATCTGTATACTAAATATTCAAATTTGTTCAGACGTTTACACGTGGTTGTATAATCCTATTAATGTACTCATAATAAAAGCGAAAGTCCGTAACGATGAATAGATGGACGAATGGATGGATAGATATTTGTTACTCTTTCACACAAATACTTCTTAACGGATTTGTATGAAATTTGGTACACGTGTAGTTTATATTCTATCTTAACACGTAAGATACTTTATATATTCATTGGAATGGGCAAAGCTACGGGATACAGCTAGTAAATATCTAAACATAAAAACATCTTTGAGAACACTTGCACCAATTCCACTGGCGTTTGTATAGCAAAATAAAACTACCAAATTTGCTTACTTCTTAAAATGAATTTCGAATGTTCCAGGTTTTCCCTAGAGCCTACAAAATGGGATATAGCTGCACTATAGTATATATACTATTTATTTTTGTAGTATAACTTCTAAAGGGCTCTATTAAAGTTTTTGCAGGGTCAACAACGCGCACATGGCACCCCTGTTGTTACCGACGTCCATGGACTACATTAACCGTTTACCGTCAGACGGGCTGTTTGCTTATTTTCCACCTTTGTGGTGTAAAAAAAATCTCAAATCCGCCAAAAAATTTTTAATAATAATGAAAATAATGAGCGTCAATAAGTTTTACATTTTTTAATGTTATAATGAATCTTGCCAGGCGCTATGGTATGTATAGTAGAATGTACATATGGTATATATATATATATATATATATATATATATATATATATATATATATATATGGTGGTGTATATATATATATGGTGTATATATATATATATATATAATAAATGTTCTTTGTAACCCTAATATTATTTCTATGTACAGGGTGAAAATCAAACTCAGATAGATCTAAAACTTTAAAGATCATAGGTTAAATTCCCTTTTAAAACCCTAATATCAGAGAGATGTTTCATTAGGAGTTCTCTGTAGGTGTGTTTTGACAAAGTTTATCAATTAACATTATGGACCCAAACGTCGACTTCCACCGTATCATTTGAATGCCAGTGGGCGTTCTTAAAATTGATATTTTAAGCATTTGTAATGTTGCTGTATGCTCATATGCGTTTAAGTTATTCGCTACCCATAAGTATATATTAGTAGATAGACAAGAATTGTTCGCACTATTACTGTCGTATTAATATCTATACTTCATTAACATTAAATTAACTTTACTATCAGAACTTGATCTTCGAATCGAGTCCAGAGGGAGACTTTGTACAAAAGTCGATTGCTTGGGTACCTCTGTCCTATTCGTGTTTCTACCGTGAAGCAGTTGTGTTTGCATGGCTGTGTTTCGGTTTGAAGGGTGGGATATGGCGTGAATTTACAGGGTACAGAGGAATAACACCTGAATCCACAGGATTGGCAACGCATGGGGGGTATCATGGGCGAAACAGTATACTCTGTTATGTCCATGGTACTGCTCATGTCTATAGGCGATTGTTACCACTTTCCATCAGATGGACCGTCAGCTTGTTTGCCATTCTAAGTTGTATAAAAAAAATTCAATTATCATTTTTATAATAACCTATCGACAATTTTAATCCTTGATTAATTCAGCACAATGGACCTACTTTACTTCATTCTTCCTTGTCATTGATTTTCTTCTAACGTAAATCAACAATACAGGGAGTTACCATTCTAATATCGTCTTATAAAAAATATCGTTTTATTTTTTTATTTTTAATCTACATCTGTCCACGTAATTGATTTATATGAAATTTAATCATCATCATTGCCTTCCTTTGAAATTTAATAGTCCTCAAAAATAATTTTAGCTCCATATTATACTTCGATATTTGATATCAAGTTGCTAACATTATAACGAAAAAATATATATATACTAATATATTCATAGTATAAACCGCTTCTGTGCTTCGCCCTTACGCGTACCTACCCTTCTGCGAATTTATTATTTCAATTATATTAACTTGACCGGTCGCGCCCTTGAGGCAACAAGGGTTGATTTATAAAGTCCTATATTATGGATATTGCTAACAATATAAACCTAAGTTCAATATTTAAAAAAATCTTCACGGTTGATTGTAAAGCCAATTTGGATGATATTATACCTATATGTGGCAATACGTGTAATACCTATATGGAATGGCAACGAATTTTTTTTTTTTGATACCACAAAGGTGGCGAACAAGCATACAGCCCGTCTGATGGTCAGCGGTTACCATGGCCTATGAACACCTGCAATACCAGGGATATTACGTGCGCCTTGCTGACCCTGCAAAAACCTCTTTGGGGTTCTTCAAAAAGGGGTTTTTGAAGAAAACGTTTATGAAGAAAAAAGTTTTTGGGAAAACCTCTTAAATTTGTTTAAACACTATTTTGTACATGATTCAAGAATGTAACACATGTTATGGTTAAAGATACATGTGAAAGGTCTACTTTAATATATTAGAATGTAATTTAGTCAATAGACTTATTGTAAATTAATACATGGATTTTATTAATTTATTTCTTTCTACTCAGTTATTCGAATTT